GTTATTTTTAAGCAAAGCTAATTCGCAAAAGCCAAGGAAATTAAACGAAAAAAGTACATAACCTTCTTCCAAGAAAGATGATTTGCGTTTAAATTTAGAGGTAAACACAGCAATACCAAATTATTGAATTTCAGGGCAGAGAGAAATAAATGATATAGGACCATGTCATTGAAACTTCCAGGAAGACGGAGGTTTCTGTGAAGGTTGATAATGTTTTCAAATTTAAGAATTTGTAAGTTCATAAATTAAAATAAGATTGGTATGTTCATCAAAAGTACTTAGAACTTGAAATTATCCAAATAACTCATTTCTGAAGTGTAACTAAAGGTTTGAGATTTTTTTGATAAGTAGAGCGCCATATACTAGCCACAGAAGTGTGGTTGCAGGAAATATTTTTATGCTCCCCAAGGAAGGCCACTGGAAAGGTTGTCAAAAGCTGATGGTTGAAACTAAACTGGAATTTTCAGAGGAGGCAGCGTAGCCAAGTGGTTTAGGGCACTGGTGTAATGCGGAGGTCCCAGGTTTAAGGTCTCCACCCTGCCACTAGTGGGATTTGTTTGTTGGTAGTCCCAAGTTCAAATCCTCGGTAATGCTTTGTAAATAGCCAACTGGTCTGCCTGCTGCCAGTTGGGATTTTTAACCATGTTACATTTATTTGAAATATTTAATTCCTTTGTTTCAGTGGCATGCCTGTAAACTAGCTAAGCTTAGTGCTTGTATAGCTAAGTGCATGACCACTATAAATAAGATTGCATTTTTTACAGAGGGGCGAGTGTGGGACTCAAACCAAAGAACTTTCCAGGTGAGGGTTAAGGATGTTTTCTGAAAAAAATATGACATTTGCTACTGGCAATGCCTTTATCAGTTTTATATTTCTTCAGTCTATTCTAATATTTATTATTACTGGTAATAGCTTTTCTATTCATAACGTACTTGCTGTGACTGCATAAGAGTCGCCTTTGTGGGAATTCTGTTTGAGTTACAAGGTCAGGTAGAGTCCAGTGACCGACATTAGATTATGTGGACTTTAACATGTGGTGCTTATCATACATCATTTGTTGTTTATTAAACCAACACTGGCATCAATTCACCAGGAACTGTGATAGTACAGCATGCAAATCCTTCAAGTCCCACTGGCAAACTTGCCAGTTCCTCCCATTCCTGTTGATCTGTGTTGTAACATTCAACACTCCTCAGCTCTCTATTATGTTTGTTGACTCCACCTAGTACAAAAACCTTGTTCTCAATTACTGCTGCCCCAGCATGTGACCGTGGCTGCTGGGTAGATGCTATAGCAGTCCACCGGTTGGTTGTAGGGTCGTACACCTCACAAGAAGCTAATTTGATGGGTGATTCTAAAATGTCTTCCCCACCAATAACAAAGATCTTGCTATGTACACTAACAGCACAGGCATCAGAACGACGTCTGTTCATAGGAGCAATTTCAACCCAAGAACCTGATGAATGATCATAACATTCAGCAGACATCAAAGGAATATCCTCATCGCTGGAATATCCACCAAATACATATAAATACGTTGAACCAACCACACAGTGCCTTGTGCGAGAAGCATTCATTGATGCAACAATTTCCCATTTGTTTATCTTGGGACTGTAGCGCTGGACAAGGTTCTGTGGCCTGCCTTTTGCATCATGCCCCCCAGCAGCGTAAAGAAAGTCCCCAACCACGGCCACGCCTACACCAGCCACTTCCCTTCGCATCGATAACACACTGGACCATGTATTGGTCCTTGGGTCATAGAGCTCAGCACTTCTTGTGACACTGCCATTTTTTGTGGTCCCACCCACTACATACACCAATCCTTCATGTATGGCAATGCCATGATTCTTTCTGGGGGTCAACATTGGGGAAACCTGAAACATTTGCTTGATGCTTGGCACAAACACGTTTGAAGAAGCTGTGATGTCACAATCTTCCTGCCAACCTCCCACCATAAGGATTGCAGTTTGACACGCACGAGGCCGTGGGCACTGGTCACTGTTACCTTGTACAGTTCCCTTGGGAGATGAGAAGAACTCTTTGGCGGCATTGACAAGGCGTAAACAAGATTCGTCACTCTTAACCAAGTCCTCCTCTTGTACCGTAGTAATCAAGTAACATCTCGCCAAGTAGACCAGGCGAATGTGTAAAAACAGGGTAGAAAAGTGCTTCTTTCTTGTCTCCAAGCTATTCTTGGTCCACTTTACCACAGATTCGAATATTTTCTCCTCTCTAGCGACGAGATCGTCGCTGGATACAATGGCGAGCAGCTGCTCTATAGTCAGGGTTACAAATCCACTGCTGGCTGCCACAGGGACATAATTTTCGAGAATGTGTTTTTGGGCGCTGTCACGAAGTTCTCTCACATTGTACTTTTCGGCCATGTACAAAAGAAACAGGCAGTTGTCCGAGTTCAAGTCGCTAATCAGAAATTCACAAGCCTTCTGTTTCAGCTCGGTCAAAAACAAGAAATCTGCACCAATAGCTAAATCAAGAGCGTTGTCTTTTTTGATGTTTATTCCACCACCATACATGTAGGTCAGCAGCTGTTCCATAACATGGGGTTCAAATTCTTCCATGTGAACGGTATTTTCAGCTTTTTCCTTCATCTCATTGGCGAACAAAGCCTTGAAGAACTCACTGTTTGCGGAAAGGACGTTCCGATGCGCAGGGAAAGTTGTGCCCTGTACACTCAGTGTAACATCGCATAGCGTTCCTTCCTTCCTGAAGTCATTCAATGATTTCATTACTTTGGCGCAAAAGCTCGCTTCATGCGAACCCATGATCGATTTCGGTATTTTTCGGGGAATATTTCCTCCTCGGCGTACAGCGCTAACAGAACATCTGATCAACTCTGATTTGCACCTGCTGGTTATGTTATACTTCAGTGTTTACTTTCAGCGGTGAACATTTGCCTCAATTTGGCGGGAATCTTAATTTCGCACAGGAAACACAGCCTTCCTAGAAAGTATTTCACCCTCAACTCAAAGAAAAGATGCATATGGGAGGTTTCTCAGTTCAAACCCATGATTGCAAGCTTCGAATATATGTTACATATATC